TTTAAAAACACGACTAAAATTACTTTGGCTATTATCAGACGCCCGTGTACAAATGTATTTGTAAACGCTTCCTAGTTTTCGAATGCAAATTACTTAAAAGCATCTTTTGCATTAAAAAAAAAAAAAAAAAAAAAAAAAAAATAAGAGAGAGAGAGAGAGAGAGAGAGAAAGAAATCGGGTGTATATAAAGCTAAACTTTAAAGATTAAAACTAACAAAATTAACTTTTTATGTGACTTTAAAATCGACATTTTCGTTGATCTCTCCATCGGATAAAAATGGTTTAAGTTATATTGTGCTGACCCTTTATTTCAGGACCAGTTCTACGTATTGTAAATCACATTCTTCCTTAAAAGACTTATATGTGGACAAGGTACAGTTGACTAATTACAACACTGTAGAGGGCCAAAACCTATACTATTAAAATCTGTGCGCGTCTGTTTGTTTGTTCATGGCATCATCTCCTCCTAAACCATGGAGGTAAGAAAGGACCACCATTCCTACCTCCATGTCCTGAACGGCGGGGAGTTGAGTTTCGAGAGAGGTACTTCCCACCCGATTCCAAAAATTCGTGGGAAGCCATTTCGACCATCTTCATACGACATTAGTCAGCCGAGATATTAATTAAAAACTCTGAAAACGCTAATTTTCACACTTATTTTTCCGAGTGGCAACAGTCGCGCTCGCTGGAGATAAAAATCAGCTTTATTTCGAAAGGTGGTTCTACTGCTTGTTTTCAAATCGTAGAGTTTGTTAATGAAAAATTTGCGAAATTAAAATAACATTGCCAAACATTTTCTTCAACGTCATATTCTGACGTTGAAGAAAGCACGGGATTGCATGTGACGTCATTGTATGTCGAAATATTTTCGTTAATGTCAGCATTTTAAATCAATATCTGCTATTGGCAACTTTTTTGTTTCAGGTTAGTATAACTGACACGATACGTTATTGTCACATGAACACTTTTATTTATATTGAGAAAAAGTTGTTATTAGTTCAAAGGGACAATTTGCCCACAAGGACTATTAATTTCGTTTTAGAATTTTGCGTTGATTCACCATAAACGGCGAATCCCTTTTTAAATTGTTGCTACCAAATATTATAGCCCTGTATTATATTTAAAGAAATTAAATAGTAAAGAATCTGCATAAATGTATCTATGTTTCTCGTATTGTGATAAAACAACGGTACCTAGACTCATGAAATTTTGAATAACGTAATCCATCGAATATGAGCATCTGGAAGCCCTAATTTGGAACTTGTTTTAGTATCGATTTCATATATTGTAACACTTTAACGAATCTTAACAAACTCAACGATTTCAAAACGAGCATTGGCAACACTGTCGAGGGGGGGGGCGGAGTTTATCTCCAGCGCAAGAGACTGTGTATCGCAAATTTTAAGGTTATTTTTTAATATTTTTAGCCCAAAGGAACATTATTCCAAATGCTCTCGAAACGTATATGTGTATGCCTATGAAAAAAACTCCCAAATGTTTTACATTTTTTTTAACATTTTTATTTCCAGCGCGTGAGACTGTGTATCAGAAATTCTTAAGATAAGCTCATTTTAAAATTATTTTGTGATATTGCTGAAGTGCAAGGAACATGCTATTTAAAGAAAAAAAGGTAACACTCAAAATGTTAAAAAAAACAAACGCCCCTTTGGACGTAATATAAAATTTAAAACTTTCAGAATTTCTTTATGAAACACTCTGTATGTTTTTCCTTTTAAGTAGCTTTTCTTTAAAGTGATCTTCGCGAAACTTTTATGTACTAAACTAAATAAACTTTTGATTCCATTTCAATTTAAATTCAGTTACTTCTGTTGTATAAGCTTTGCTTAATTTAACATATCTGAATTTTCAGATTATAAACTAGCGCCATTGCTATCAATCTTACATTTTTTTTCCCCTTTCTTTTTAATTCTTTCGATAAGATCTCTAAATACATTCACTATAATTCTAAAATTTTCACTGTTACAGAAATTCAAATATAAATTTACAAGTATCAAAACTTAATGTCCTTTTCTATTTCGATCTTTGTTAAGAAATTTATTATTTGAATATATTGTTTTCGATTTTTGATACAAATTTTTCACTAAAAATGCACATAAAATAGAATGCAGATGTTTATACATAATTCTTTCTTCCTTCAGAACAAGTTTGATCTAAGAGAATCTTGAAACTGTTGAACTTCGATTTAAAATTTATTAATGATATACAGCTAAAAGTCTTTAATCCGGAATCATCTATAATCCGGACCTCAAAGCTACAAACTTTCTGCGCATGCGCATATGCGTTTACGCATGCGCGTTTAATGTATAACGGACGGTATAAGCTAAGCTAAAATTATCAATTTCAGTTAATGTTGCAGATTGCATTGTTCCTTAATCTTCTAATTGGATCCGGCTTATTATTTTTTGCAGACTGTTAGAGCAATTTTATAAAAGTAAGCTTGAACTTTCGATTATGTCAAAAAGAATTTCCGATTCTCTGGGCTGCCAAAGAATCTACAAAGCGAAAGCATGTTTCGATGTCCTTCAAACAAAAACTGAAATTATTGCAAAAAATGGATAAAGGCATATTCTTTGTTCCTCTAACCATTCCGAAATCTGTTTATCAATTTCACGCTGTTCTGGGGGGGGGGGGATGTCGCGGCGCGCAATGAACTGGAAGTTGATCTGTCAGCACTATCCTTATCTTCAGGGCAGATGTTTTTATTTTATTCGGCTAATAATTCCTTACTAACTGCAGTATTTCATCACGATGTACTCCGTCTTTGATATGATTAAAATCAAATTTCTCGTCATTATAAATATCACGAATACACATCAAATGGTTTTCTGGTTGCAATTTTCTAATTTCGACTATGCGTAATGTATGCTTTATGCATGCGCGCGTTAAAAGAAATGTTTAATAAAGTAAACAAATAAATATTAAGCTTTTTTTTGTAAATTTTGATACCCTTTAGATCATATTTGCTCTTTATTTCATAAATTACGGTTTCATATTTTTAATTTTATAATTCCTGCATGCCATCTTACCAGATTTAAACTGATGATCTATAATCCGGAATCGCCGAAGTCTCGACGAGTCCGGATTAAAGACTTTTGACTGTATTTGTTTACTGATAGGTTTATACTGCTAAATTTATTTTATATTACTTCTAAATCTGTCTTTCTTGTTTGAATATAATGTTTCGAAATTTTATACAATTTTTTTCACTAAAAATGCACATATAATTAATGACTCCTGCATACAAAAGTAGAATACACATGTTTATAGATAATTCGTTTTTCACAGCAAGTCAGATTTATGAGAATCTTGACAATATTGAACTTCGATTTAAAATTTCTTAATGATATATTTGTTTATTTTGTGGAATTGCTTTTGTATTATTTCGAAATCCGCTTTTAGTAAAATAGGTTTCATATTTACATATAAATTTATTAATCTGACCCTAAAATAAAACATCTGCGTATCTTAATTTTATTTAAATATGTTGCGAAATATGGAGATACAGCAAAGAAATAATAGAGTATGTTTGAGAACCGAATTAACGCTTAATAACGCTTATTATTAACGCTGTTTGGGAACTGAATTAACGAATTACGCTTAAACGAATGTGTGATAGCTTTAGGCTACTATCACACATTCGTTTGTTTCAAAAGAACAATTGTTTGAAACAATTTTTCTGCTTTGTCACAACAGCCAATCACCACAGATCTTTAGGGTTAACATGTAAATGAGAAACTGGTTCTCATTACAAACAAGCTGATTTGGTTAAAAATGAACAACTTGCAATTTTTTTCGAATGGAAGGAAAAAATCGCGCGTCTTTCTTTTAATAGTAAACGAGGCAGAAAAATTGTCCGAAACAGTTGTTCGTATGAAACAAATGCATTTGTGATATGGCCCTTATGAAACAATATGACACTAACCTTCAAATGAGGGTACAGCTGACAACGTATAATATCAGTTATATTAACATAATTAAAATGGTACAGTTTTGATAAATATTTTTATTGTTGTCGTGTCTATGATTAAGTCTATTCAAACAGTCTCATAGGTGAAGACGACAGCTCTGGCAGTCTACAAAATGTTATCATAGTAGAGGTTCCGTCTTTTAAACAAGACCCCAATTTTTAACAATTCAGTAAGGATGGCTGAGTAGTCAGAAATATGTGCAGTTGCTATTTCTGTGCCCATTAGGTCTTAGGAATTTTTTACTCTCTCTGTAAATTTCCAATCATCTGTGATGGCCAGTACTAAGTCTGACATTAATTTTAGTCGTAAGTCGATCTCCACTGATGTTATACAATTGGTGCTTTATTGAAATTCTTGAATCTGTATTTGGCCATGGCATTTGCGCCAGACACAATGACATTTACATTATTATTACTGTTGAGATTTCGAGCCTCTTTTGCCAGTTTATCTGCATTCTCGTTCCCTGTGATGTTGACATGCACTGGCAATCATTGAATAAGTGCGTTTAGGTGAAAGTGGATCATGTTGGTGATCAGGAAAGTTCCATCCAGGATTGTCTGTAGAGCTCTGCCTTTGAGCGACAGAAAACAACGAGCCCTTTTGTTTGCTAAGAAATGGGTCGAACATTAACTCAGAAATATCTCCACGAAAGTAATTTTCACAAAAAATTGTCAACCGTACCCTCAGCTAAAGCTTAACGCAAAATGCTTAAAGGGCCGTTCACACGGGGTTTGTTTGAGCTAACGGAGTCGGTTACTTATCCAGACTAGCTCCCTTAAACGTGAAGTTCAGATTTTTCAGCTGTCTCCGTTGTGAAGTACAACTAGTTTCTTTCGACACCGTGTCTTTTGTTAGCAGCTCATATAGGGAGATGAAAAATCTGAACTTTACGCACAGCGGAGCTGGTCGACACATGGAACTGAGTTCATTAGCTCAGATAAACTCCAGTGTGAATGGCCCTTGAGAGTTTGCAAAGTGAAATGAAATAAAAATAAACCACATAACACAATAACAAAAAGTCAAAATATTTATTTCCGTCAGTGACTTGAGTGTTGACGTAATCGCTCAATATTCACAGACCATTCATTATACTACAGCACATGGGGGTGAACAAAAAATGCCGCATAACAGAAGGGGCAACAAACAGGGGGCTGTACATGACGGTCGGGGATGGGACACTGTACAAAAGGACAGACAACTGTCTGTCCAATACTTTTCTCCGTTCCGTCTCCATTTTACAGTGCTCGATATAACGGAACAAAATTTCAATAAAGTCCTCCAAAAAAGAGTTTTTTTTTCTTACAATATTTTGCAACTTTTTCTCAAAAAGCGGCATCCGCTACAGCTGTACAGATTTTTTTTCGACCTGGAAATACGATGACACCTTTGCTCTATTAGGTACATACATCTGAATGAAGGCATTTCTTTATTTGCCTTCTTTTTTTTTTCTCTCTGTACAAGTAGGATAAGAACAAATGCTCCGACAACACGTATTCATGAAATATTGAGTAACAATAACATAGTTGAGCACTTTTTTTAAAAGTCGAGAGATGAGGGCGCCTCATTCACTGCATCCTTCTTTAAAAAATAAACAGCAAATAGTTGATGGCTTTGTTAGGCATGAGCAATGCACAATGAGCCATGAAGATGGAAACTAAATAAAATATACGTAGCCGGTGATTCAATATACTTAAAATGAATAACAAAAGACGTGTTATTGAATTAAGAAAAACGACGGATTATAACGATAATTTGTATTTAAAGAATTAGTTTAATTAAATTTGAGGTTTTTGAATACAGTTGTGTATATTTATATATAAAATATAATTAATTGTTCTATATGCTCTGTTACGCGACATGTATTTAATGGAGAAAGCTATACAAAAATTTTTAAGTTAACAATTTTTCGAAGTGCTTTTTAATCAAAGCCTGATTGGTATCACATGGCCGATTGGGGAAATTTAAAATGTTGTCTTCACGTTATTTATTGGCTTTCGAATTCCATTGCGAATTTGCTAATTTCGAATTTGAAAATTCGATTACGAACTAAAAAAGATAATATTATTAGTCAATTAAAATTATTTTTTGTAAATTTACTATTAAAATGTTAAAAATGATAGAACAAATGTCACTTTTAGCACTACAGTATTAAAAAAAATCACAAAATCACGTTTTTTATTTAACGACTGGTTTTAGTAACTAATATAAATATTATAATAAAAGAGAAAGATTTTATAACAAACGCCTATATAATACTAATAAGTTCTAATACGGCAAAAGGTATTTAATAATGTAAAAAATATATGCCCATTAGGTAAACCTGAAATAAATAAATAAATGAATAAAAATAATTCTTTTTAAATGTATGTGTCTAATTTTTTTTGAAAGAAAACGACATTTAATGAAGCACCTGAATTGAAAAAAAAAAGGGGGGGAGGGGAGTTATCTTCATTACATCAATCAAAGCACACACTTTAAGCTTTTATAAAAATATTCTCAAGTTATATTATACAAAATTTCAAAAAGTATTTTACTTCCTTTAAGTAAGTAACTTTAAAACTATTTAACTTCCTAACATAAGCAAAAATTTGGTTCATGTTTGAGGATTACTCTTGCAAATACGCAAATACCTTGAACGGAAATACGAGACTCAAACTTAAATTCGCGACTTCGAATCGGTTCGAATATACAAGCAGCTTAAATAAAACATGACTATTTGCACAATGCTCATTTTGGACAAATATACTGGCACAATATTGTTAAAATATAGGAACAAATTAAATTTAAACATGACTTTCAGTTAAAAATATACTAAAATTACTGACCACAAAAAAACATAAAAAAACATGTCCTTTAGAATTTATAAGCATATTCTCTGGCAAATATTTACATATTTGTAATGCAATACAACCAGGACGTTGAACTTTTTGGAGTTACAATTATTAAAACACACTTCTAATAAAATTGATTGACATGACTATGTTGTGAAATGAATCCAAATAATAACAAACAATTAATGTTCGACAACATATGTAAAAGGATATTACAATTGCAAGTTATAAAAGATAATCAAGCATTTGATACAGCAATGTCCAAAATTATCATTTGCAAATTATATCTTTTGATAACTACAGCATCCAAAATGAACCCTAAAAACCTAAATGCTACTGAAAATAATCCATTTTTTGAAATAGATACTTAAATATATTTATTCATAATTTTATTATGCAAATCAAAGCAAATTTTAAGTTATAAAGTTAAAAAAATAATCTAAGAGTCAGATATTATTTTATCATAAATGTAACTTCCCTTGTAGAATTAAGCATAAAAATAAATTAAATAAGTTTAACGTCTAATTATTTTATTAGATTTAGATAAAATTTTACAACATATTAAAAATACTTTCATTGAACCACCTTAAATATTACCAACCTTTTAAAACTGTAACTTTACTTAGTCGAACATAATACTTATAATAATACACATACAAGAATTATTTTATGAGTGTAAACAGTTAAACCGACTTATCGCGAATAAAATTTTTAATTAAACAAAAACATTGATTGTGCAAATTTAGGATTGCAAAAGAAAAAAAATCTAGGAAAAAAAATTTGAGCTGTAACTGTAAATACATTTTGAATTACAGTTTTAACAAAATAGCATTTAGCCATAAAAATAATGTCTAAGTAAGTTTTCGAGTACAAAACTATTTCAAAAACTACAATCATAAAACACTGAATTACCATAATTATTCATTAATAACTGGTTGTACAAATTTTTGATATGTGATAAACAAAGCCCCAAGAAACTAAATCATTCTTTATAAAGTTAAAATGTATAACTAAGTTAACGTTTCTATGAATAAAACAATACACATATATAGTAATAACAAGACAATAAAACTGGCCAAAGGGGATAGCAGTGAACTGAGGCGCATAACAGGTGGAATAAAAAAAATATTTTGTCATGAAGGTATCCCAGGTCGAGACGGATCACACATTGATGTCCTAAGTACAAAAAACAAAGAACCAAAATTAAAAGAGAAGGAAGGGGGGAAATAAGATTGTACACAGAGGGCAGAAAATGTTAATGATAACAAGATGGACGACATCAAGATGACGGACGATGGAGAGGCCGCCCACGCGTTGTGACGTCACTCGGCCAGGCCTGAACACGTATACGATGCTGAAGAGGTTGAGAAAAAGACAACCTCCATTTTGAAGTCCATACGTCACTTCTGCTTTTTTGCTGAAATTATGGCACGATTTTTTTTCCGTAACTTTTTTTTCTCGATATCAGTTGTGTTGAGGCGAGTTGAGACTTTGCCCGTCTCAACGACTCATAGTGGCACATAAAAGAGTTCGCGATCCTACCGCGTGGTGGCAGCACCTGTAGTCCCTTATTCTCACGTATGTATATGTAACAAATGTCCAGATTGCTGGAGTGACCCTCCGGTATTTGTTGGCGAATTGGCCAGACTACTATGGATGCAAATCTGGTGGCTGAAAGAAAGAAAAAAGAAAAAGTCATCTCAAACTCTAAAACATGCTTTTTATAAAATGTATCACAAGAAAATCATATATTGTTATAATATAAAATAATGGATTTTTAGATCACTAACACTATCATTCTATGTTAAAATACTAGAAGTCTGACACAAAGAAAAGATGCACTAAGAAAAAGCTTTGGAAGGCTATATCGAAAAGAGTAATACAATAAATCCTTGCCAAGCGCGGATTTGCGAAACGCGAATTTGCATGTTGGCGCTCCTTTAATTGTTCCCATTTAATTTGTTCAACGCTAGAATTTCATTCTAATGTTTTATTCTAACGCTCATTCATGAACGCTGAATGCTTGCTGGGGTCAGTTCTCGCAGAAATCGCCCAGATTGCAAAAGGAATTTGCGGCGCAGGATATTAAGATATGGAAGGATTAGTGGTCAAAGATAATCGATGAATGACAAATAAAGTATTGAATGATCTTATAACACCAGCCGACAGTGAAAGCAGTGATAATGAAGAAGACAAAGCGAAAATGCATAAGAAATGTCTGACTTTGCAGTGGAGACTGACTCCAATGAAGAAAGGAAAGAACACTTTGTGAAAAGCATTGGAAAACACTGTGCTTCTTAGCGCTAAACTTTTTTTTAAAGAGTTTGTCATTGTTTGAAGCAAAAATTACCAGATTTAAAAAAAAAAATTCCATCACGTACTGATTAAACAGTAATAAAATCGTTTCAATTAGCATTGCTTCATTTTTTTCCTTCGAATTAAAACAAAATTTAGGTTTGTTTAAATTATACATACTTTCTTTGTCTGAATTATACTTAACGCATTTTTCTATAGAAAGTTATAACGTAATTTCGCTCTGTGTGCAGTGTACCAATGACATAAACCCCGCGTTCGGCAACGGTTTATAGTATTGATGCTCTTTTATTCATATCAAAGAAGTATGCAATAGAAAATAGTATAGTAAGTGAAATTACGATCAAACAGAAATACTCATTAATCCTAGTAGTAAATTAACCACAAAACTTCGTTTCTCGTTTCAAATTTGGCAATGGATTTGTTGCACGATGGCATGACGAATATTGAAAACTACCAAAACCACACTTCTTTCTATTGATAAATTCAAGCTTCAAATCATATCTAATTCTCTTCAAAATTTTTTATCACAATGGTTCAGGCGTAAATACGTAGGTGAAAGTATTCTTCCTATATGTCCTAGCAGAAAAATCATCACGATTCGAGGTGGATATAGGACAAGCATCACGGAAGATTATGTACCTCATTCCAAAGCCATAACATCAACTTTTCGTTCACGTTCTAACTTCCTTAACATATTCTATACCTACTTAAGAGCATTAAAGCGGTCGTAAAAGACCTGAATAGTTCAGAATGAAAGAGCAATTTATGAAATTTTACGACTTTAAACAGGCATACAATATTAAACCACTGAACATTTAAAGAACTATATTTGGAGAGTGTCTGCATGAACTACATTAAAGTAATAAATAGCTGTATACGTTCTATGATTCAAAATACTATCCTAAAATCTATATATTGAACGAATAAATTAACACTACCAATCTGAGTTTGTGAATAAATTTAACATTCTATATCTCCTTCGAAAGCTATTAGAAACAGTGAATATAAAAATTAGCTATTTTTGAAATATACATTGGAACGATAAATAAAGAAACCCGCATTTTAGGGAAATTAGAATAAATTCCTTTCTAGAAAACAGAAAAATTTAAAAAAACTATATTAAAGTTCAAAATAAATAATTTTTGACTCACTTTATAAGCTTACCTGATGCATACTCGGGTCATACATCCCACCCGATCCGTCCGCATACCCCGCTGTTTGGGAAATGACGTGCCTGAGGGCATTTGCCTGCAAACGAAAGAGATTTTTACACATGAATATTTCCCAGTAGGCAGAAAAGTTTTGAATTTTTTTAAATACAGATAAATAAATATTTTCACACAAATAAAACATATATTTTGACTTCACTTATATTGAATAAACTCTTAAACCAATGAGTGTTTTCTTAAACTAACAATTATTTTATTAATGAAAATATTTACTAATCCTAGCATCTTTTTACAGGGACGCATGAAACTCACGTGGTCAGCGTTCGGGCAAGAAGAATAACAAGGCAATACAACCCATTGAATATCAAATACGTTAATTTATTCTTAATGAGTTACTCTTGCGAAGTAGGCCACCGAAATCTTAACTGAGATAAAGCAAACATTTTAACGCCTTTACCTGCAGAAACACTGTCACCAAGCGCATTTATATGCAAGATTAAGATGGCCACAGCAGTTACAATTAATCCTGACAATATAGCGGGGAATGTTGAGTCATAATTCAATTATAACAACCGCAATTACAACAACAGTTAGCACTTGACACTTTTCAGCCGCCGTTAATAAATCTGTCCACTTTACGCTTCCGCGGGTAAATCTCCAAACCGTTTTCAAACACCTTTTCCTCAAGTCGACCCAAACCACCAGAATTTTTATCTTTTCATCCTTTCTTTTTAAGGGCCTGTTATATAGAGATATAATTTTTCTTTTCTCACGTCTTCCTTCGCGGCTCAGCGGCGGTTGGAAGAAATTAGCCAACTCTCCGGGGAATATCTGTCACTCAAGGAAAGGGCCAGGACCAGGCGACAAGACACGGCTGGGATGCGCTTTAAACAGGCCTCGTTAGTAGCCTCTAATCGGATTTCGGATCGGACGCCGAACCGGCTTGCTTGTATTTTTATCCCGAATTAGCTCGTTCTTCTCGCCAGGAAGAGTTTTGGGCGTTGCAGAAGCTTGCAGCGTTTTATTGAATTAGCGAGACATGCGACGTCATGCTAACAAAGGGGACTTCTGCCTTCTCCAGATACCGATAGTCGTCGACGGTTGTGTGGCTGGGGGAAGGGGTAGTAGGTGGCCTTTCTCGCGGACCAAATTGAATTCCGTTTTCTGGGCGAGGGGCTAAATTGCGAGATGGGATGACTGTCGGTTCTCGGATGAAACTAGAAAGCGAGCAGGGAATCTTAAAGAGGTTTGGTAGGAGATGCGATAGGGGGCGGTTTTTGCTTCCTTTCCCTGCGCTTCCCCTCCAAGAAAAAAACAGCTCTCTGTCTTGCATCAAACTGGGAAAATCTATGCGGAATTTTCCAAACAAATGGAATGATCAGAACTACGCGAAAAGTACGGCTGTTCCTCTACAATTCTGAGGAATGCAGAACAAATTTGGTCGTTGGATCACGGAAATTACTTTAGTACAGTATATAATGAACTGAACAGTGATGCCGTAGGAAACATGCATTTATTTAAATAAAGTTAGCTTTTTTTTTTGCCCTCACTAAAATTTAAGAAGTTTTTTCATATAAATTTTACTCGAACACAATTACCTGCCAATTAAAATATTCGTAGATCTGACATAAATACCTTCTATATCTAATAATCTTTTCTTTATCTTCAGATTTAATTGTAACCAGCTTTATGTCAAAAGAAACGACACTATTTGTACATTAGATAATTATAGTATAAGACATCCCGTAACATTTTACTCGCCAAAATTACTCGTATGTTAAAATTTTAAGGTAACAGTTATTCATATGATTGTATATTCATTGTAATATAAATGTATTATTGATGCAATATATTGTAATATTGAAAAAATATAATATGAATTAAGGTATAAATTTTGCCATATAAGATAGCCGACGCTTTCCCATAGATCACTGTTGTTACTTATTATGATTAAGGAGAGTTTTTCTTGAGCATGTTAGGAATTTTAAAAGAAAAATGCTAATAATTTTTCGCAGATCCAGCACATTATGCTGGAGTTCTCTGCATATTGAAGGACAGAAGGTACGTTTACTTTACTTTTTATTTTCATATAATAATATATAAAATATTTTTTTCCAATAATATTTATTTAAAACAGGAACACAATTCTCACCCGAACCGTACAGGTAGTGAGTTGGAATTATACTTGCACAAACAATAGTGAAATTTTGGTGTCCCATCCACTTGTCCTTTCTGTATACCGAAACAGCACCTTTCAAAAGGACATCTATAGCTGTCGGTTACAGTAAAAGTCAACTCTAACTCATTTTTCGTAGGGGGTATCTTGAAGAAATGCATTTTAGTTTGCCATCCTGGAGCATTAAATGGTAATTTGGGGATATACCTTTCTTAATTTTTGCTTTAAGAAAAATACTCTTTACGATACCGTTGTTAATAAACATGACGAAATTTTGGATAAAATTTATTTTTCATTTGTTTTCTTCTTTTGGCTTGATTTCTATAATAAAGTTTTTTTACGTTTATTTAGTAATATTGTTTCAAATAATAATTTAAATAGTTTATATATATATATTTATAATATATATATTCAACTCGCTTTTAATTCTGTATATTACTGTATTTACTGACTTTTGGATAACACTCTATAGCAAGCTATATATATGCATTTTCTCTTCCTAACATGACAAAATTATGTGTGTAAATTCAGTAACTATTAAAGCAAGTTTGAAAATTTTAAGTCCCATAAAAATGACGGGGAGGGAAATGGTTTAAACTGAACATTTCCAGAGGAGGGGGGGGGGTGAGAAGAACAGAGAAAAATAAAACAAAATCTGGAATCAGAATGCTAAAGAAAAACATAAGAAAAAGAGAATACATTTCAAACAACGAACGTTAAAGATACTTTCACATCCCTCACCGCATATTTTTACATTTTTTAAACTTTTTCCTTGCCGTGGGGTTTAAAACTTGATAGCGCTGTTAACCTTTCTATGACCCTTTAAGACGCGAGAAAAAGGTCAGGAATATTTTTAAAATTTTGTTTTATTTCCTGAACATCGCCTGAACTGCATGAATCAATGATTTCGTGTGAAAGCATTTCAGACAATTTTTCATTTATGGAATAACTTTAAATTTTGCATCACAAGGAAAAGGAAATATCAGCAACTGCAGAAAATTATAGGATAAGTCTCTTTTTAAATATAAATTTTCAGTTTCAAATCGAGCGCTGTAGGAATTTCTCCACTATAATGTATCAATGAAGACTGTCACTGTGTTGCAAAGACTTTAACATATTAAAGGAAGTTAAAAAAAAAGTCTATTTCGAAATAAAAATTTGATCCACCTTATCGATATTAACTTCAATTTTTTAATTTTTTTTTAAATGAGCATACATGTTCCGAAAAGCATGCGTCTGAAATCAAACTGCAAGTGTAATTTAATCAAAAAACACTCATGCATAAAAACTAATGATTATAAAATGCACATTCATTGGGCTATATATAATATTTCCGAAAAAATCAAGTCTGTTCATAAAATTGCTAATTTTTAAAACTCTTATGATTATGGAAGGAAATTACCAACAAATATAAACAGTACAGTATGATAGATTTACGCTGATGCGAGACGAAATCAAACGGTAAAGGCAATAATATAAACCTTTAGTATCTGCAACTGTGAGCTTATTAAAACTTGTTAATATCGTTTTGATATAAGTTTTGGATTATTTAACTATGGCGATATTAATAAGATTGGTTTATTTAACTATGGCGAAGCACACAAGGGCTATCTGCCTAATTGAAGGAATGCCTTCGTGGAGGATTTTCTAAGGGAAAATGGTTCCTATAGAAGCTACACATGTGAAAGCCCTCGGAAATGACCATGCAGACAGCCAGTTCACCAGGATATGAACATCGGACCAAACTACCAGTGTTCAGCGACTTTACCACTCGGCCGCTGTCGGCCTACGTCTTGTTATAAGTTGCATTATTTCTTGATATAGTCACTTTTTGCAGATTGAAGTACCATTTTTATCACTTTACAGCTTTATTCTTTAAAAAGAGCTTTTTTATAAATTCTCTCACAAAACTACGTCCGCGACGCTTTCTTAACCTTGTTATTAAACGTGAGCTAGCAGTTACTTAGGAAGACTAAACACAAGTTTACATGACATCATATCACAGCCGTAAATGACCATGAGCATAGAGTTAGATGCTTGTTCACGTTATTGAAAATGCGACAGACCAGACACTTTATTTTTGAATAGAAGTTTAGCATGATTTTCTTGGCGCAGAGTTGTCACCAGAATTTCCTCGCTGTTGAAATGGACAGGTGATTCCATTGCATATCTTGTCTTTTGCTCGTCACTGCAGCAGAAAATCAACGTCTGATTTTTGGTTGCAAGCAGCTTTAAAGCAGACAGATATTCTTTAATAAAGCTCCAGAAACTGTTTTTAAGCTTTTACGGGTAATTACTTACGTAAACCAACAAGCTGCATGAAGAGCCATCTAGTACAAATTTTACTATTCCCAAAGCTATCACGCGTTGTGATATCTGCAGATCCACTACTGGATGTACCATCTGAAGGTCCCCTTTGATTAAGCCATTCACGCAAAGAAGCTCTGTTCATACGAGCTTGGTATGGAATACTAATAGCCAAACAATACAAATTTAATCCATTTAACTTGTTCTTACACATTTAAATTTTTCGCTGCATTCGTTAATTTTTTCATTCTGCTATGTTTTCACTTCCACTCTGATCCAGCATTCTTTGATGAATTTTAATTAGTATGCCAAGGAAATCCCATAAAGCCATTCTGTTCAACAATGGCGTTCAGCTTCGAGCTAATTTATTTTATTGGAACTTAATCGAAAGTTTCATCACTCAGATATAATATTAGCTACTATCCAGTGAAATTACAGCACAGTTTTTTATATTGTGTTTATCATTTTATTTATTAACATACAGAACGTTAAAAAGAATTAGCCTTATTCTACATAATACCTCAGCATAATAAGACTTCAGCAATGTGAAGACAAGTTCTACTTCTTAACTTGGCAGGTAATTCTCGCAAACAGATAATAAAATTTAAAATACAGAGTAGATTAAATATTTACCTGCGACTGTACATTGGCCCCCATGGACTGGTAGGAATCCCCACCGTTCAAGCTCATGTTGTACATAGAATCCTGGGGAGCACCGGGGGGCGGCGGGCTAATCATTTGACCCGGTTGCTGTCCTTGGGACGTTGGCACCATATTGTAAGGGGAAGAACCAGCTGCAAGGGAAAAAAAAATTGAATCTCAGTTGACATGCAGACTTTTAATTATGTCTTATGCAATATGACTATATGCAAACTCATTAATTATATTGATATGAACAAAAGAACTAAGTACCTATATAGCGATAACTATTTTTATTCAAGCAGTTGTTACCATGCAATGTTAAGCAGTTTAATTCCTGAATCAAACTGCAGTTTGCTTTGATACCGCCTGTCAATATAATTAATTACCAACAGGACTCACTATAATTTTAAGCGATATTCAGCCCCAAATTATATTTATAAAGTATAGCAATACTTACTAATCCTTTCTTTCTTTAATAGCTTTAAATATTTTATTATTAGCCTAAGGAACCTAATGTAAATTAATACAAAATTACTTTCGCAGTGAATTAATTTTGGAAAATAAGTAATAATAGACACTTTACTAAGAACTTAATCATAAATGAAAATTGAATTATGCATAACTTCCCCTCTCTTTTTAAACCAGATTTCAGGATTTTATTAATTTTACTTCAGAAACCAGAAATTTAGAAACTTGTCTAAAAAACGTAACCGCATTGACAAAGAAATTCGATAATATACCTGAAAAACCAGTCGCAATTTTACACTAAAACTGCCCCCTCATAAATTTCTAATAATGGAAACTTAACTTTTGAATAGAAATTACTATATTTTAATTTTTAATATATTTTAAATATATTTTTTATTTCAAATACAAGACATGAATCTGACATTCTGAGGAATCACCGAAAATTTAATGAATCGACGGATTAAAGTATAATTTTTACAACCACTTCTAAACCTGAATCTAGAAAATTTAGTAAGTTTACCTGAGAAGAAAACTAAAAATTATCTAAAAATTAGTTGAGCTCTTTGAAACTAAATAATCAAAACTTGAATTAGAATACATGCCAATTGGTACCACCTCTGTATGCTCAATATCCATATTTTTTTTTTAATTTCTAGAGATTATATTTTTAAGCAAATTTTATAATCTGATAATTTTTACGATATTATCACAGCATCAAAATATCTCGAAAACTTTCTAGGTTTTTAGTTCTTTGCTTAAATAACATAATTAACTTTAACATTTTTAACCTTATTCATAAAAGTACAATTAATTTATTGGTGAATGAAAACAAGAAAAGACCCTTAAATCGAAATATAAATGGCACATACTCATAAATTATTTTACTGCAGTCACTGGTCTTTATGATAAATATATATATTTATGAGGTATGAACAGGAAACGACACGATGATTGTAGAACTGGAAATTTACAACTTTGCCCTCTAACTATCTTTAACTCAAAAACTAATTGGTCATACAAATGAATGATTCCGATTTCTGCGAACAGCGGAAATAACATATTCGCGCTGGAGGTGTGCATATCTATGGCCTTTCTCCATTAGATTACGGCTTCTACATCATTTCATTGGCTATATGATCATCTAAGTGGAAGTTCTGAATTGAGTATATTTTTACCATGAAAATCGCTTCATAATTAAGGGGTTGATTTAATACGCTCTGCCATATCCGCTGTGTCACAGCGATGAATTAATTCATTAGTGTGACCTAGTAACGTACGTATCACACACGTACACATCCGCGTTGAAACAGACTGGAATTTATGGAAGCTTGCTCACCAAGAAACGGAAGAATGATAAAAGATGGAGCCCAATTATTTTACTAAATAGCAGGAAATAACGCGTTTAATTAGGTGGATATTTATCGGAAGATGGAAAGGAATTTTTATGAATAATTATCCATCGTTAAACTGGGAATAGAGAAAATTATCAAAATGCAAGCTATCTGCAGTTCAAAGTGTAATGGACATTTACACTTTTGAGAATACAATCATGAGCCATTTCCAATTACGCGAAAAGGAATAGAATACGAGTTCATTTTATATAAAAAAAAGCAAAGGATGAAACTAGTGTTATTCATATCTGATAATTATTATAATACAATTTACTAGAAGAGGTATTTAAAGAAAAGATAGTTTCTGTGTTTTAATTCATATTTTTTCCCTATAAAATTAAGATTACAATTATTTAGAAACTCTCCCTCTCTCTCTCTCTCTCTCTCTTTTTTTTTTTTTTTTTTTTTTTTTTTTTTTTTTTTTAAGTTCAAAGGGATTTCAGTCCCGAAGGACTATTGCTTTCGTTTTGGCATTTTGCGTCGGACTCATAAACGTCGGTTCACTTTTCAAACTGTTGCCACAAAATGTTAGAGTCCTGCATTATATTTGAAGAAATTAAATAATGAAAAATCTGCATAAATGATTGTCTATTCCTCGCATTGTGATAAAACAATGGTACATAGAGCCATCGAATTTTGAATGACGAAATCCTACTGCGAATATGGGCATCTGAAATCCCAAATTTGGAATTTGTTTTATTATAGATTTTATATTTTGTAAAACTTTAACGAATTTTTGATTTTACAAACTCAATGCTTTAAAAAGCGAGAAATGGCAACGTTATATAGAAAAAAAAAAAAAAAAAAAAAAAAATACTTTTTATCTCCAGCTCGCGAGACTGTGTATATCGGAAATTCTAAAGATATGCTTAATTTAACATTATTTTGCGATATTGCTCTTGAACTGAATTTTATGGTTTAAGTGCAAAGAACATGATATTTAATAAATAAGGGTAACACTCAAAACGTTAAAAAAACGCCCCTTTGGACGTAATTTAAAATCTGAAACATTTCAGATTTTTTTTTAATTTTTTTTTTTTTTTTTTAAACTTTTCTAATTTGCCTACTATAAGCTCTAAGCCATCATGCGACTACCTGCCATTTTGTTACGAAACTACATATGACGTCAGTACTTGAATCACTATAAAATTGTTTTATTATATACTCTTACAAACGCAAAGCAAACAATAAGGTGGAAATAAAAAAATATAAGTAAAACAGTTAAAATAAATCACAAAATTAAATGACAAATACAAGAAATGAAATTCTACAGCGGCGCCGGCGATAGATATGTCTTAAGATTCTTATTCGGAAGAGTCTACCTCCGAAATGAAAATTTACATAAAGAAAAATAATAATAATAATAATAATAATAATAAAAAAAAAAAACCCCAAAAGTGGCTCCTGAAAACCTTAATTGAAAAGCAAGCCACAGTTGAATATAAACGACAATTTCCAAAAAGCTACAAAATTGTTGTCGGCAGAAGCGAATACCAAAAAGAAAAGAAAGAGAAATATTTAGTTTATCACAAGTAGCGCATCTGAATACGAGGCAGGAAAGGATTTAAGCGTACTTGGGGGTTCTATATTTTACGACATCTTCCATACATGTCGTCGCTACTGGAGGCCGTTGACAAACAGCCGATAGCAGCAAATAGCCTGACTAAAGTCTTCAGGCGACACAGAGTGCCCATTGCATCCATCAATGACCTGGCCTCTACTGCCTATTTCCGACTTAGAATAAATCATTCGCAACGCCAAATTTATATGTCGGCCAGAGACTTTTTTGTGCCACGCTTCCCATTTACCCTCAGTGTTCCTACAAGGACGGCAACGGTCAATTGGGGAATAGCATCTATATGGGGTCCACATATCGCGAGAGATAACACTGAAGCTAAGAGATTGAGAGCGCCGAGTACTAAGGAAGTAAATAAATAACTCTCTTCGAATAAAAAAAAGGGGGTAGAACATAAAGCAAGCTGGGGGAACGGCTCCCACAAAGTGCCCAGCGGGCAAAGAGCATGTCTGCAAAAGAGAGTCCCATGGTCGCCGTTATGCTAAATCCAAATGGCCGAAAACGGTGGCCGGCAAAATGGATTCATGTAAATTTTCGTGTCTAGTGACGCCCCCGCCCCCTTTTAACGGTATGTATCTATGTATGCATGCATATCTGTGTACATTCGTAACACGGTCGAGACGTGCTGTTACATAACAAGGCGATGCATCAAGAGGCATCCTTGCTGACGTACTCCTCCAGCCTTCTATCTCCATTCGCTCCATCCCACTAGAGAGAAAGAACACCGAGAGAACGAGAGTGAAAGGGAGAAGGGGGGAGGAAAAAGCAGAAAGAAAACTACGGGAAGGAGGACTGGATGGGTAAAAGGGGGGTTGTCTTTTGTGCGTGTGCGCTCGTGTGCTTGGGCCTCAAAGTCCCGCTATTCGTCTAGCGATGACACAACGAAATGGAATAGCATTAATGCATCAAAACCTCTGACACATAGGATGGGAGGCTTTTCCAGATATTGCAGTTAGGCGGATACATCTTTCCCCATTTCTTTTTCTTCCCGCGCTCTGTTTCTGCAGATATTTTATATGTATGGGTAAGATGTGACTGCCTCTGTATGCGATTATGTGTTATGTGTGTATATACGCTCATGAAGTCTCTCCTTTTCATGCTGTAGCAGACGTCGTTAACAATCTCCCTCCTCTCCCGCCAAGCTTTTCTATTGCAAGCCCCTCTCTTATTTCTTTCACCCCCCAAAACTTTTCTTCATTTCCAGAAAAGATTCCCATCTTGTTGCGTTGTTGAACCTCTCTTTCCTCTCAAGGGTTCCCTATTTCGTACTGTTCATTCTCAAAACTCTCGAACTAATCCTGTATGATAGGAAATATGGTACCAAATTTGCATTTCGAAAATATTTCCCTCCTCGTGGCATTACTGGTAAAGGAATAAATTCCTTCCCATGCAAAATTCTGCATCTGAAACTGCCCATTTCTTAAACCTACTCGACCACAATACAGCATTGAATCTACACTTTAAGAATTTATATGCTATTGTTCAATATAATCCTCTTTTTGGAAAGAAACATATATTTTACAAACGATATTTGTACACTTTCGCTGTTGCACGCTCAATGACTCCAATAAAAAATATTTTTTCCTTATTTAAAAAAATTGTTTAAAGCAGATCAATATATGTTCCGATCATGTAAGTGAAGAATTCAGCTTCGTATCTGTAACCTTAAACAACATTCTTATTACCTCTCAAAAGCGATATCAGTTTCGATCTGGCC